TTAATCAAATTATTTCAATCACTTCATCAAAAAAAAACTTTCTGAAGGATATTTGTACTTTACAGATCGACTTGTGGCCCCTTAATATTTCTCCTATCCTAATTTTTTTTAAGTTATGGTTAAATATACAGGGGTGCGCAAAAGTCCGGAATAAAATTAATATCTTTTCAACCAGTATTTTAGGAAAAAAAAACGCTGAAACACGTTAGTTGATTTCACGTTGTACGCATTTTTTGGCAATAAAATGAATTTTTTTTTCAACCCCTCAGCTGCAACCCTCCCCAACTTTTTTTTTTCAAATGCAACTCACTTGATGTCAAAAAGTTGAAGAGCGACAATTGTTTTTCCTTCATAAACAATTGTCGAAAAAGATACGACAATTCATCAATCAGGTATCTTTTGTAAAAAAAAAGGATTTAACAGAAAAACAAGATCACGTTGCTTGTTGGGAGAAATTCATAATTCTTCCTCAATATACCTACATACGATATATCAATTCTGCTTTTAAAGAATATATGAAGAAATCAAATATACCTGTTGCGGTGTTGCCATATGGTTCAAAATATCCATATACTACAAAGTATGACACGTAAAACGCAATATTTTCCGAAAAAAACGTTACAGGAAATTTTTTGATACAGATTGGGTTACGACAATTATTCGACAAATACTAGTAATGAAAGTTTTAATAATTCAGTTATATTAAAAATTTCACTACAGGTGCTGTGCTAACTTAATATCCAGTTAGCAGGGCCACCCCTTATAAAAAAAAGGAGATGCGCGACAATTATTTTTCTTTCACGACAAATTCTCGACATTTATTCGACAATTAAAAAAATATATTTCAATAATTTTACTGCAAGTTGCCTTGCTAACTTCATGGAGATGAAATTTGAACAATTCCTCGTATAAGGAAATAAAACTTTTCACTTATAGTCAGTGGGCATACTTGAAGACTGGCTATAAATCAAATAATTTATTAGAACTGGCGAATAGTTGATGAAAATCTATATCAAAACTAATTGATACAGTTTATTGTATGCTTTTCACTATAAAGGGTTTAACAAAAACCGCGACACGTGTTCCGCTACACAATAGCTTTATCGAACATGAATCAAATCATCTAATCTAAAGGAACAATTCGTTCAGGCCAAACCACCCGAAACCGGTCTGCAATCGTGTTCCAATAATTGAAAATCTATTGCGGCAGTATCGCCAACAGCATATGCAGGAATAACTTCAGTGAAGAATCCTGCACTGACACTTGTCGGATATAATCCAATGCTCTTCGTGGTATTAGCCAGGGGAGTGGTTGTTTTCTGATAGGTGTCAGTCCATTAGCCTACAGTGTAGGGAGTTAAGACTAGCCTGAATGAATTGTTGATTCAGATGATTTGACTTACAGCCAGTATTCACGTATGCCCACCGACTATATGTGAAAAGTCAACTGAATATTCAAGAGCAACCTCGAATGTCTTGTCAGAAATAACACAAAGATCCAAATTCCGCAGGGTCATAGTTATTGGCCATGGTAATTATATTATCACTGAATGATATGATATTGCTAATCTATTCAATAATTAGAATGAACTGACTCGTTACGTAATGAAAGTTAATGAAATTATTCACGATAATACTTGAACAATTTTGAAAACTTGAAACTCGCCTAGATTGAAAATTGTGATGAAAATCCATATTGTATCCATGAAACACTTCATTGTTAAATTCTCAGTACGCAGTTTAACAAAAACGCAACACGTGTTTCGCTATGCAATAGCTCCTTCAGGCGTGTCTTTATTGACGCTCCAGGAAGCTATTATAAAGCGAAACACGTGTTGCGTTTTTGTGAAACTGTGTAGGAAAATCTCACAATGAAGTGTTTCTTGGATGGTATAAAACAGTGACGGCTCGTGCATTGGAGAACAGGGGAGGCTGAAGTCATAAAGACTATATACACACAGAGAAGCCCGCCGGAGGCGCGAAAATTTTTATGTTGTTGCACGCTTTGCATAATAGGTTTGCGCAATTAACTTTTGCCTAAAATTATAGGTGTCACGCGTACGAATTGAAAAATCAAACAAATCGTCAGCTGTGAGCCCAGATGAAACATCATCATCATCAATTTCCCATGCAAAAAAAGAAACACTTTCAATCTCCTTGCTTATATTCTCCTTAATAATAAATGCCACACTATCTATAAGCTAATTTTGGATGGTTTTTGGGGTGCCCGAAAAAACGCTACCGTTTAAAAAAGTGCCAAATTGTGAATCATATTTGCCCCATAACATTAAAAGTTCCTTGCAATTGCCGCGATCAATTGAATCTTCGGTTTCATCGTGTCCACGAAAAGCTAATTCTTGGGAACCCAAATAAATCGTAATATCATCGATAAGTCTTTTTGAATTCGACCGATTTTCCCTAACCTTGATTATTAAAAGAAATTATTGCCTTTTTTGAGCTGTATCTAAAGCTGTTGCTATATTTTCTTTGCATAACAATTTTAATTTACAAGAGTATCCTATTTTAAACCACGTTTGGTATTCGATTTGTACGGAAAATGAAACACAGGGTCAACAAAAAAGTTTTTCTCGTTTAATAGAGCCGGTCAACCAATCGCATTTATCGTACCAACTAATATTAAATCCTCGATTTTGTCGATTATCTGACGTTTTAATTGAAATCAAATTTGGTTGAGGCCTTCCCATAGTTTTAATAATGTATAATTTATTATCATAAGATAAAGACTTACAATTATTTGTCACCAACCAATCGACTATATCGTCAGATTTTTTTATTTCGTCCAACGTATCCATAATAAATGAAAAAAAAAAACTTACCGAAAAGTGAAAACCTAAAAACACCTAGAAATTGAAAGAAAACACTTCAAAAACACATTAAAAATATTACCAAAAAGCACTACTATAATACAATACTGCCTGTTTTATACACAAATAACAAATATTATCAAGAAACACTAATACGATTTACCGAAATATTTTTCAGTCCTGGTCCGTCACGGCATCCCGTCCGAATAATTAAATAAAAAACAAACGCAGTCGTACACTAACGGAGACCAACTGGAGGCTAGCCTCCTCTAACGCTATAATTTCTGCAACTGAAATTACAAATCGGGACGTATGTCGCAGGTTGGATCGGTCTCGTGAAGCCTGTGTTTTATAAAGCGGTCGGAGGCTTGGCTTCCTTGCAACGTATAGCATTCATTATTTCGGGTTGATGGTTTATTCGTTATTCGTTCATGGGCGGTGCGTTTGAGTTTTGTTGATGCATGATACAGTTTGGTACGTACTACGTAGTGAGTGATAGTGTTTTTTCGGGCATATTTTGTGTTTATATTAAAAATCATTGGTATAGTAATGATAACCAAGCATTTTTAGAAAAAAAAATAATCATAATTATTTGTCAATATCTTTTAATTTATTGCGATGAATAGCCTCAAATTTCATGGGGAGGCTAAGCCTCCCTTGCCACCTCTGATATAATTGCCTCACAGATATAATTTCCTCAGTTTATTGAAATTGAAAACAAATCACTCCCATCTTCAAAAAGAACAGTTCATTACTAAGGCCTGGTTCAGAACTTGTTTTTGCTATTTTTAGACATAATTGAGTCAATAATATCCACCTCGTAACCGTTGTTAACAGCAATATTGATAAGCCATCCAGATTTTCAGAAGCATCACAGCTTCTGCTAACAAACTGGGTCGCCGGACTCCTGGTCGGTGGCAGAAATAAGTAGGGTGAGAGAAACCAAAACTCCACAAAAGCTTTGCGAAACATGCCACCGAGGACCAGCCTACCAAAGCTAAGGTTATCCTCCTTGAGGAAACGGGCGAAACCCCGTCTTAATTAGCCTATCTCTGGTAATGCGGGGCTCTGCCAGAGTGACCAACTCTTCCCCTGCTACTCGTGGGAACCCAAGTGAATATAACAAACACAACAACAGACACTGAAAAAACAAAAACCAATCCCGAGGCTGGATAGAAATGCTCACCTCAATCTATGGCGGTAGCTGGGGATGAACAGAAATGTCCACCCCAATCTACCAATTGGAATGAGGCTGGACATGGCAGACCAACTCGTGATCTAATACAAAAGCAAAGGCGTAAGCGCATTTGCGGCGCCGAGGCCAAAAGGAGAAAGAGATCGATAAAGGCAGGAGTGGTAGCAAGTATAAGTGCACCCTCTTCCTCCCCCGCTCCCCCACTCCACCTCCAACAGCAAGGGCACTTCCTGCGGCGGGCGCCAAGAGCTCCATCTTGAACAAAGGCAAGAAACCGGCTGCCTCTGCAGGAAAGCGCCCTTACTTGAGCACCTCCACGGAGGGAATCCCAAGAATGTTGAAGAAGCCGCGCAATGTCGTAGAACCTTCCAAAACCTCCGGGAGGGCAACTACTCGGGAGGATGTACAATGGGTCACTAATCAAAAAATTAAAATGGAAACTAAGAAACCCTGGTTGACAAAAATGATTGAAGATCTCTTCTGTTAATTTGCATTATCTCAAAAAAAATTTTTAATAACCATTTCTTTTCTTCCTATTTCAACGTTTATAGAAAAATCTGGAGATCCACTCTCCAACTAGCTAAACATAAGTACTATAACAACAGGATTGGAGAGTCGAATAACGAAATCAAAGAAACTTGGTCAATTATAAATTACCTGAGAGCGAAATCAAGGAAAACAAAAGTTGACATTTCAATTAATCCTAACTCAATTGATGAATTTTACTGCACGATTGCTCATAAACTGAGTGAGTCAATTAACACCCCTTATGATCCTCTGGTCAATCTAGATCAGTGGTCGCCAACCTGTCGACCAATTCTGGTAGCTCTCACAACGATTTCAATTTAAAAAATACAAACTGCAAAAATCAGAGAAGCTTCCGAAAATTCCACAAAAAAATCTAATTGTCATTATATTTAACATAAACAGCGGCAACGTTGCGGTGAGCGATCTNTTATTTATATTGATTAGTTATATTTAATTGTTCTTATTGCTTAAGCTTATGTTCGTATTTTACTAGTTAAACGAAATTTCTTTATTATCTACTATGACTTTCGATTTTACTTATATTAATAACTTATATGAATTGTCATATTGCTCAAGCTTTGTCAACAAGTTGTCCTTAAGACAATAAAACATATTCATTATTATTATTATTATGTGGATTGAGTGCGTGGGTCTACACTCACCCTCCCTACTCTGCAGATACAGATGCTTTATGAAGATGTAGTTTATAAATCATCAATACAATCAATTACAAAGTTTCAATAATCAATATTCCAACGAATGTTTTGATGATCTCTTCGAAAGTTTATCATTTTACAAATGTTGGTTGAGTTCGAAATAAGTTTCGAAATATTAATCTCTCTCAACTACCTATATAGTCCAGTTCAACATGTACTTTTTTTGTAATATTTTTCAGCCTTGTCCAAAAATTACGACCAAGGTGTCATTCGATTCGTATTTTTGCCTAGAAAGTTTAAGGAAAGGTTCGAAAACGCGCCGGTAAAAATTACAAAAGTTATNGCTTTTATTATTATTTTACCTGTTCAAAACCGTAGATTGCTGAGGAGAGTGGTGTGATGACTGTTACCTAGGACTCTCAGAATTATTTTTAGGACATTATCTACATCATTATTATCTTTTTTCTTGTCAATAAAACCGTTTGACTTACATTTTTTTTTTACTTATCTTATTTTCAAGTTTTTAGTTTCTAACTTTTATCCACCGAAATGCCACACAGTCCTCGACGCGATACAAAATCTTGACTTGGGTTTGAAATCCTTACTTTTATCCCGATTCTGAGTTGAAAAAGTTCTTTGCATAGGTTACATAGTGTACTACTATAGTACTTGTCAAGCCCTGTCATTTGACACCCATATTGTGGTGGTTGTGACAAAATATGTAATCCGCCATGTTGTAGCTGCGGCCATCTTGAATTTGCATCTCCTTCATAGTGTATAGTTCAAGTAAACGATATAGTGCACCCTACCTTCCAGCAGTTCCCCTTTAATAAAATAGTTAGGTAGCTACCTAATTTTGTTATTCAATAATCATTTCTGATCATAAAGAATCTAATGGACAAGCAGGACAAGCAGGACAAGCTAAATGAAACCGTTTTAAAAAACAAAGACAAAACACCGAAAACTTTTGAGCTTTCCGCCTGCCGACGGGACAATTCGTTGTTGACAAAAACAGTCTTCAAAATGTTTAAAATTTTGACAACTCAAGTTTTTGTTTTGTCAAAATCGAGACAGTTACTGTTTAGTTGTGGTTTTGTTCGATTGTTGCATTTTTCCGTATTTCTCACGTTTCCTAAATAATCAAAGATCTCGCCCAAGATCTCCGTTCGATACTTGACCTTGAATTTAAAGTCTCATCATAAAATTCATAATATTTTCATGAAAAGATAACCTCTCGTCAACCCTGATGAAATACTTCTTTCTAAGCTGATAGGAAAAACCAAGTACTGCCGATGAGGCCATGAACAAATCTCAGAATTTACATCATTATAATTTTGTAACTCCTCATGTTTTGTAAACAGCAGAATAGATGTGTTGTTGTGAACGGCTTTATGAAAAGTAAAAAAAACTCGTGTAAATGTGCAATGACGAAATTCTTTGATGCCATGACCTATTGTTTTTAATTATTATATCAAAATCATCTTCACTACTCGCTTTGCTTATAATGTAATGCATAGACCGGGAGATAGTGTAGATTTTGGTAAACCACTTCTTACAGTATGGCGTTTTTAGAGAAACGAAAATAACCACGCCATACCATTCAGACGGTCCAAAATCCCCGCCATACCCCCTCAAACATGTCATTTTTCAATATTCTAAAAACTATTTCTTTCACCTTAATAAACTTTGGTCCAGTAGTTGTTTTTATAAGTAGCTGAACGATTTTCAAAATGAGGTATCTGGACTCACCTGGATTTTAGAGGTTATCTCCGCTCCTGCTAGAGGGTTGATGTATTTAAATTGGAAATTAGCCTAAAAAATGCACGCTTACAAACTGACACCCTGTATATCTACTCCTACACACTTTTAAATAAGGATTAATATTCAAAATTATAATCATAATATAGATTATAATATTCAAATAGATATATATATATATATCTACCTAACAAACAGGTTTCTAACGTAAAACTTGGTTTATTATTTTCCCTAGCATGACAAGAACATTAAAAATATTCAAATATCTCCATAATAATTCGAAAATTCATTTTCCAGCTTCGAGTCGCAATACCTCAGACGCCACGCCGCAACGTTGCCAGCTCTCCAGTCACCGACGACAGCACAACGAGGCGACATCGATCGTAAGCAGTCACGTGACAGAGCAGAGGTTATAAATACGATCGCTGCCTCCGCCTCTGCCTCTTTTCCACAGTAACTAAGACGAACGTACAACTAGTGTTTAGTGCTCGAAACCGAGGTTCAGAATGCCAGAAACGACAGTAACAAATGGCTTCGCGAACGGCCATTCCGGCTACGAGACGGCTGACGGACAAGAGTTTCTATTCACCTCAGAATCTGTGGGAGAGGGACATCCAGGTTAGTACACAGCACGCTTTTTCTGTTAGTATTTACACGAGAAAATGGCGGTGAAACCGCGTGGTAGCGTTTTATTTTTGGCGCTGAACGATGATACGCGATACGTTCAGTTGTTTCGATACCGATCGAGAAGCTATCGGTGAAAGATGCAAGTCCATGTGCACCGAGCGTCGTAGGAGTCCGAACATGGCTTGCCGCTATTTTGTTTTGTTAGGCTAGCCGCACACTGGCAATCTTTTAACCTCTGTCCTAGTGAAATAGACCCGAATGAAAAACCTCTTTTATTTTAGAGAAAAACGTGACGAATTCAAGAATCTTAACGAATTTTGTGGGGTTTTCTTTTTACATGATGTACAGGTATTATTGTTATGCAATTTTTGGAACCGTTGGTGTAGTAATGAATATTATTGTTTATCCCCAAACCGTTTTTCAACACCTTGACACGTGTTTCAATTACCAATTGATCATCTTCAAGACAAAGATTGCAATGTCGTCGTTTGGTATTTATTATATTAACTGTTTATTTTGCATTGCACTTGTTGATTGTACAGTCTTTTATTTGCCTTTATACACTTCACTTTTTCACTTTTTATCGTTATATGTAGCTACATGAAGCATCTAACCTCACGCACTTGACTGGGTTGAACATATAATAATAATAAAAACAATAATGCATGCAGAAGCATTAAAGAGACGTGTAAACAAAGTTTTAGAAATAAACATAAATACACCACTGATGCTATAAAGCTTTTGCGTGGTGTTGCACAAACCACACAATGCATCGCTATTCAATTAATAAAAACTCAAGTTGCTTCATTAAAGTTACCGGTGTGCGGCAAGCCTTAGCTGTCGCTGTCTGGGTTTGTTTTTGTTTTGTTTTCGAACCGGCGAATCTAATAACGCCGTGAAAAGTGAAAGCGTGTGGCAACTGTGTATGAATGAGGCGGGAAATAACTAGTGGGAATTCCGCGAATATTTTTAAACGGAAAAACCCGACATGTTTATTTGCGACGGATATGTTGAATAAATAGAGGGTTGTCAGGCTCTGATAAGGAATTTATTTATTTACTTTATAGAAATAGTGAATGTAATTTCAATGTTTTATTGTCTGAACGTATTCAAAAAAAAAATTAAAGGGAGACTTTGAAGTTTACAAAATCGTCACACGTCATTAAAGTGTGTTTTTCTAATACATTATAATGTATTTTCATCAAGGATCGCCAGTTCTATCATTTTTGAATCATACTATTACTACCTGACAAATTTCTACATGTAAATTCAATACCTAAACTATTCACCTTCCTAGAAACAAACTAATAAAACTGAAGAATAATGAATACTTTTACCTGAGGCATCATTTTACCTACTTTTAAGGTATATTACCAATTTCCACATTCAATAAAGGGGGACCATTCAAATATGTTTGATCATTGAGCAATAATTCCAAAAGGTCGAGTTTTGTACCTTTCTCTTCCAAATAATCGCCCAAATGAACTCTCGCCCCCATGTCAAAAGATAGTTTGCAACTGTTGCATTGGTCTTTCCATTCAAAAAACTACTACTATGTTCTTTCACTCGTTTGGGCAAAGTTATTCCAGTCTGGCCAGCATAAAATTTTGGACAAAAACCACAAGTCAACTTGTATACTCACGATCTATCAGATGCTGGATGTTTTTGATGAATTCACTCAAATTATTTGTTCTGTAGGCTACGTCCAATTCTGTTTTTTTTGACAAACTTATCAGTAAGATTACCAAAGTAAGAGTCACATAATGTTTACTATCAGTCTATGAAACTGGATAGGCCTGGTTCATATCTGAACTAGTTTGAAAAAATTGTTGATCATCCTATTAGTGTAGATTTAATTCTCTAGGCTAGATATTTTTATTCTGCTTTAACCTTTGACACATTATAATAAAGTACTTTGGTGATAACCGTTAGTTACTGAAGATCTTGTTTTTGACTAAAATATCATCTACATATCTGAACTAGTTTGAAAAATTGTTGATCATCCTATTAGTGTAGATTTAATTCTCTAGGCTAGATATTTTTATTCTGCTTTAACCTTTGACACATTATAATAAAGTACTTTGGTGATAGCGATTAGTTACTGAAAAAACATTCAAAAATCAAGGTGATCAAATTTAGATATGATTTTTAATTGGGTATAACGATAATGATAATAATACCTTGGAATTTTTTTCAACTCCTTTATTCATATTTATCAAAATAATTATTGTTGGTCAAAATAATAATGAAGTTTATTTCAAATCATTATTATGAAGGGAATAACTTGTATATTTGGCCAAGAGCATTCATCAAGTCAAAGTAAAAGATTATCAAGTGGAAATAATTATTTGCGTGTGGGGTGCTTCGAGGTTCTGTGTTGGGTCCAAATTTGTTCAATATTTATCTTAATGATCTACACGGTCAAACTTTGCGAAAATTTTTAACAAAAAGCAGAAAGAGATTTTTAAATGATCAATGATTGGCTTATGAAAAGTATCTCAACAATGAATTATAAAAAATGAAATATATCATTTCATTAGTTTGGAGAAACTAATCTTTGTTCATACTTTCATTCAAAATCTGTTAATCGCTGAATTTTTGTCGTTTTTAATTTATGAAATTTGGTGTAGTTTCTCGAGTGTGTTTTAGACCACACGACTGAAGTAAAACTTATTTAAACATATATCACGTGATATAACAGCTTGCACCATAACAGTTCTCATTTGTTCCATATTTTCAGCATAGACAACACTTGTCTTTTGTTACTCTGAGGACAAAACAGAACAAACACTTTTTTCAAACTGAATGACATGACAGCTGTTCGTGTCAATTATTTGTTGTCTCTCTCTTTGTTCTTCAACCACATGGCAATCCATAATTTTAAAACAAATCTTAACGATTTTTAGTAAATGGTAAATATTCGTTTTGAGGGCACCCGGCGATATTGAAAAAATGTGTACTTACTTCGGCGTGTAAGCGGAGTGTACTTACGTATTTTGATGCGTAAATTACGAATCCGAAAGAAAAAAGTGGCGCTCTCCCTTATTTACAAAGTTACGGCCCTTCAAAGTTCAGAAAAGGGCAACTTTTCAGCCTTCTTTTTCACAAGAAAAACTATTTAAAAACACAAGCATTTATTCACTAGGTCAGTTACACCTTATTCCCCCTTCCTTGACACTTTTCACTCCAACAAACAACATTTTTCCAATAAAAATATTGAAAAATGTACGGAGCTGTTTTTTGGTTATACATTTCTGTATTTTACGTTAAGGTTGGCATAGTTGGTACGACTGATGCTGCCGTATTGTTGCTGCAAACAGTCATACTTGAACTAAATGAAGAATTAAATTTTCTCTTACTTTCACTAAATTATTAATTTCGTTCAAATTCATTTTGTGTTTTTCTAATCACTCACGTCAATCTAAAATTACAAATCTACGAATTTGAAATAGTAAACGGCGGCAAATATCAACCGCTTTTTTCAGAAATGTCACTAGTAACTAACCTAGAAATAGAAAATGTCATGTCACTAGTAACTAACCTAGAAATAGAAAATGTCACCAGAAGAAGCATTCGTTTGTAAATTAAGTTTTTTATAAGAAAAATGTTGATTGTTGACTTGAAAAGTGTCAATTAAGGAGGAATAAGGTGTAAAGGTGACCTTGTGAATAAATGCTTGTGTTATATAGTTTATCGTGTGAAAAAGAAGGCTGAAAAGTTGCCCTTTTATGAACTTCGAAGGGCCGTAACTTTGTTAATAAGGGAGAGGGCCGCTTTTTTCTTTCGGATTCGTAAACTAAGCATCAAAATACGTAAGTACACTCAAACATTTTTTCCAAATCGCCGGGTGCCCTCAAAACGAATATTTACCCTAACTTATACCTACCTCTCAACTTCCGTTCACCTCGCCCGATCACACTTTTTACAACGCTCTCGTCCCCCATCCACCAGCTTACTCCCCATATCAAGCGCGCGTAAAAAAGTTTTACATACTGTCAATCCCTTGATGTTTATGAAAAATTTTTGGAAGGAAAAAGATATCCCATAAAAACTTAGAGCATTCAGATCCTAGAGCAAAATTCCAAAAATGTGCAAATGTGGTTATCCAGAAAACAATATTTACCCATATTCTGTATTTTCCTTCGATGCATCTTGAATAAGCTCGTCTTTTGTTTCAGACAAAATGTGCGACCAAATCAGTGACGCCATATTAGATGCACACTTGCAACAAGATCCATATGCTAAAGTAGCCTGCGGTAAGTTTCCAATCCACCAAACCTTCCCGATCTCAACCAACTCCTTTTCACAGAAACAGTAACCAAGACCGGGATGATCCTGGTATGCGGAGAAATTTCCTCCAAAGCAGTCGTAGACTACCAGAAAGTAGTCAGAGACACAGTCAAACATATCGGTTACGATGATTCCTCCAAAGGTAAGCAGCGCAAAATATTTTGAGTTTTTCCTATTCGGTGTGCTGTGTATTTAGCTCTTTCGTGACTTCTTGACTACTTGCTAGAACATGTTGTACTAGAACTGGGATCATTTGTTGGTTTTGGGGAACTTTGCTAAAACTGGCAGGCCTTGGTGTTTTGTAGAAAGCATTTTACTGAGGTGATAATAATACTATGTATCAATTGTAGGTGAATTACAGCAATTCAAAAGAAGAACACTGTATTTGTGGGGTATCCACAAAAGACTAAGAATCTGCTAGTGCTTTCCAGTTTTCTACAGTCATTAAATTGTTTCATGTACTGAGATTAATTCATCGTGGAACACCTGTGATAACAATTGCTAATCCCTTTCCTTCAGAAAAACGTGACGTATCTTGTTTCATCCCTTCGCCAGTTTTCTCATCAGAGTTATCTGGGACATATTCATGTCTTCACATTGTCCTATTTGATAATTTTCTGTCTTTTATGAGACACTTGTACTTTATAATTGCCTCTAATATACCATCATTCGTTAAATATAAATACAAATAAAAGTGGTAAAAAACATAGAAAATTTCAATACCTTTCATTTATATGGTTTTCACTAATTTTCTTTTAAAGCTGGTCCTTTCCAAGTCTTTTATATCTACAAATGATTTGGGTTCTAGCAAAGAGCTTAGGCACAGACAACTTTTAATCCAAGGCTCCCCTAATTTTCAACTAATTCTGCTACCTGTATATACTGCCTGCATTCTTGAAAGCTTATTTCTATAGAAATTGTATCAGCTTCTAGGACTAAATTCACCTACTTTTATCCCTCAAAAGCCGTATACCTGATGATAAAGGATAATCCTAAAAGAAGCATTAGAAAGTAATGGCGGATTTCATGAAGAAACATAAATGTTAGTTTAACTTTAAAGGATACCTTAATAAATATTTTGGATTTCGTAACCAACTTGAAGTATTTTTCAAGCCAAAAACGTCCTTTAAGGTTAAAGTGTTGATTTCTCTACTTTTACTCGCGAAAGTGTCATTAAACGACAATATAACCTCAAATTTTATAATTGTGATTTTTTGTGCTACTCGCTACTTTTGCTAGTTTCGTATTCGTTTAGTCGTTGATCATAATAATATGAATAATTTTGAAACGTCTAGCTCAAGTTCATCTGATGAAGAATTTATTTATACTAGAAGACCCAAAAGTGTATAGGAAAAGAACAAGACAGTTTTGAAAAATATGCTTGACTTTTACCAACGTTTTCGCTTAAAAATAACAAACTGTTTTGTATCTACTAGATAAAATAAAAGAGCAAATTGAATTACCTACTAATGAGTAAGTTGTAAAGTTTGTATTAATAATAGAATTATCAAAATCTTTTATTTAATTTTTAGAGGTGGGTGCATTACAACAATTATTGTTGACTTTTAGATTCTAAGCATCAGAAAATATGCAAATAATAGTATCAGATTTTATGGGAATGTCTAGAAGTTCAGCTAAGAGCTTAGTTAAAAATGATTCTCCTGGTGGACATGATGCAGAAATATTCAGATGTAGAAAATCTTATTTTGCATTAAATGTTCAGACAGTAAGCGATGCTAAATTAGTTACTTTATTAGTAGTTTTGCTTATTCTAGGTTAACCAACTTACTTAAAAGATACTTGGAAATGGCACTTTAATATCAATTATGAAAACAAATGACGGCAACAGCTACTTTAAAGGGAACTTTAGTGTAAAGTCTCCTTTCGGTAAAGTGGATTTTAGATGTTGATTATGAAATCGGCCATAAATTTTATTTTCACAGCACTTTGACTGAATTCCTCATTGTGGCAGTTGAAAAAAAGACATTTTTTTCATATCTGTTGATGTAAAGAGGAAGTAATGATAAGATAACATAGCTAAAAAACCCAGTTTTGTTGATAATAATGGCAATTTAGGAAAAATTCAGCTCAAATTCCTTCCATACAAATTTTTAGAGTGTTTTTTTTTGCATCCTTTGTTTTAAAGAAGTACTCAGTCAAGAATTTCATTATACAGGGTGTACGAAATCAAAATAGAAAGGGACACGCTTTGAACTTCCAACAACTGTTTTCAAGCAAGTCAGAATCGAAATGTTGGAGGATATTCAACATATTACGATTCAAATTAAGATTTCCTTGACCTGTGACAGGGCTAATAAATTACTTCTAAAAACAAAATCCAGTTTAGTTTGTAGTACAGTCCAGTTCACAAAAAATTAAGACCGAAACTAACCCTAGCATTTTTTTTTAATTGCATTTGAATTCACTACTAGTATAATACTTATATACCTGCATACCCATCGGTCGATAACCATATTTCTGTTTCGACAAAACCCTTCAAAATTTTGAATTGGCAATCCTGTAGGCTTTGACTGGCGAACCTTGAACCTCCTGGTGGCCATAGAACAGCAATCGCCCAATATAGCCGACGGAGTTCACTCGGACAGAGAAGAACCAGATATCGGGGCAGGGGATCAGGTATAAAACGTTTCGAAATTTTATAAAGGGTCGATCATCATCAGGGACTTTAATAAAATCGCTTATCTGACGACTATAGCCCGCTACAGACTGCTTTACTTCTAATTTTTGATGTTGCTTGCATGGTTCGCTTAGTTAATTTAGAATAGAACATGTAGTTGTAGGTTATGTGCCGATGATGTTTGAAATAAGTATTTGCTACTCTTGAGTGATAATGATGTGAACTTATAACTGAGGCATAACGACAAACTTCTAAATTATATCGAACTAACCGATAATGGTTGCAAATTTTGTTTAAAAATTTATTTGACTAACAGTAATATTTTGTGAACTTACCGAGTATTTTTACGAACTTACAATGTTTTGTGAACTCAAGAAATATTTTGCAAAATTAAAGGTAGAACTGCAACATCAGAACTGCAACATCAAAATGTTGAAGTTCTGATGTTTGGGAATAATGCTTCATTTGGAAATATTTTACGAACTTACTAGATAATATTATAAAAGGCTCAGGTTTTGCTATAAACTTACCGAGATATTCCTTAATGTAGACGAACTTACCTGTTTCGAAATTCTATATTTTTTCTGAACCTATTGTTTTTTGAAAACAGACCGTTTTTCATTATTTTTTTCCGAAATTTCAATGACGAAATATTTTTAAAAATCACTTTGAGTAATTTGAGCAGTTATTTACATTTTTCAATCATGCTCAATTTCGAAATCAATGTTTGTTTTTGAAATAACGTAGTGAAATTGTACATTTTCGAAAAAGAAACATTATTTTTGTAATTACCGGAATATTAACGCAATCTTTCAGAATATTTCAGCCATTTCTTAATGAACTTGCTCAAAATGTTCATTAACTCACCGATATTATCGTGAACTTACCGATATTATCGTGAACTTACCGATATTATCGTGAACTTACCGATATTATCGTGAACTTACCGATATTATCGTGAACTTACCGAGATATTTGCGAACTTACAAATATTTATAAGGTTTCTTGGATTTTTGTGCTGGTTGCTAACTGTACTACAAATTTTGAACAGGTTTTGATCACAAGACATGCAACGTTTTATTGGCGTTGGACCAACAATCGCCAGATATCGCTGCAGGCGTTCACATTAACAAACCTGAGGAAGAGGTTGGTGCAGGCGACCAGGTGAATTATACTTGTTTTTTTTTTTTCTTTTAGGACTTCTCCAGAACTGTAAGGACTTTTAGAACGACCTGTTGGCTTTAACGGGATTACATATTTTTTCAGTTTTTTTAGCATGCACTTTTTTCAATGAATTGGCTTTATGTGATCGTCTTTTTTAGCTGACTAAGAAATTGTTTCACAGATGAGTCTTAAATCTATAAAGATAATGATGTTTGTTTTTTTTGGGTTTCACGTCACAGTAAACTTTTTTCAATGTCTTCACCAATATGTATAAATAGAAAAGACTTAAATTTTTATCTTTGTAATAAAAAAACTCATAAATTACCTAACTGGTTAAAATTCATTATTTTTTGCATGCGTCACCAAAGCTGTTGATATATGAAACAATTCATTTCCTACTATTGTAGTTGAGTCATAATAACAGCTCTTTTATGTAAATTCGTTCTTAAACTATTCCAGTCGAACATATTCTTTTTCTTTTTTGTGGAGGAGCCAATACTTTATACGTTTCTGAAAAACAAACAAATTGCACATGTTCAAAATGAATTGGCACATCTGTAGGTATAATAGTGATTCGTGGTATTATATTTCCACCTCGGAACTTGTCATTTGTAATGCTGGCTTCTACAATTCATTGACTAATCGCGTGCCGTCGCATAGCCGTGGTGAATTCAAATTCGCCCTTTATCATACTTCAGCAGTTTCTCTATTGATTTAGCGATTTCGCATCGATCATTTTGTTCAGAAGTTGAGGCAGATCATCAAAACCGTGGAATTGAACAGTTTCACGGCGTAATTACAACTATAACAAACGTTTCTACTCGGCAAAAATTTGGAATTGGTCTTAATGTATGTTCCATGTTGGGCATAGATTGCAAGACTACAGGTGTCAGATCAGGAGGTCTTGTAGGCCACGAAACCAATATTTATTTGATTTAGTATCCCCAGTATAACTTGCGTATGCCTATTTTTTGAATAGACTTTCATAAACTAGTATTAGCAGTAGCAGTATTCAAAAGTAGGTATTTTCAAATTTGAAGTGTGAACTGAAATTGGTAGTGTATTTTTTTGTTTCAAACAAGTATCATTATCTCTATGGATTTTGTTGAACATTGCACGAATATAATTGGGCTGTCATTCAAAATTCAATTTCAAAACATTATGGGGGTTTCATCTTACAATATAAATCTCCTTCATGTCATCTCGAGGTTGGAATATAAAAAGAATCGATATTTAGAGAATATAAAGATGAAATTTCTTCGTTTGATAGTATGTTGTTATATTATTTTATAAGGCATACAAAAATTGGTATGAAACCTATTTTCAAAGCAGCTTTTGATAAGAGTCAGATAACAGGCAGGTTATTAGACTTCGTGGATGATAAAAAAGTTGAAACTTTAATGAAAGTACCTTGTTTTAATGGTGTTTCATATCATTTTGTTGGTTATCAAAATTATTTTTCTATACTGAGGACTGCAAATATTTTTTTGTGGAAAATAGTGGTTGCACTACTTTTAAAATGTTTTAGAATTGTACTAACCTCCAAATATCGATATCTTCAAACACATTGGAAAACTGACTCTAGACTAATCATAAACTATTTTCTCAATAGGGGTTGATGTTCGGATATGCTACAGATGAAACCGAAGAATCCATGCCATTGACAGTGGTTCTGGCTCATAGACTAAATCACAAGATCGCAGATTTAAGAAGGTCAGGCGAATTTTGGTGGGCCAGACCAGATACCAAGACACAGGCAAGTATTATTAATATTATTAGGTACTTTTCATAGCGCCAATGATGTCTTGATTAGTATTTGCTACTCTTGAGAGATAATGATGTGAACTAATTTTCTGAGGCGCTCTTAAACTTAAACAAGTTATTTGAATTACCATTTAATTGAACTCTGTTGGGGACATAATCTGCAGCTCCACTAGTTTATATTGAAACGGTTAGGATTGACTGATTTTTGGGAAAGTTTTTTACTTTCGACCACTCCATCTTGATACAAAAAAATTTGGGAATCTTCCAAAGAAATGAAGGAAGCGATCGATTTTAAAAGAAGTACACTGAATTATACAAAAAACACCCTTCTCTACTCAGTTTGTATTCCAAACATTCGTTGTGGAATCAAATCAGATATTATTTCTACACAATACACTAAAAGATAGATAAGAATTTCACTTGAATGGAATACTGTCATCCTCACTGGTAGACATCGATGTTTCGGCGTAAGACACTTGCCTTAGCCAATTTCATTGTCATGGACGAAAATGCTAGAATCCATCGCACGAGAAGAGTTCAAAATGCACTAAAGTGGCCAGCAAATTCGCCAGACATGAATCCCATTGAACATATGTGCGATTTCGTTAAACGAGCAATCTCAAACAGAATTAACTCTCCTATTACCCTTCAGGAACTCGCTCTCGCAGACCAAGAAGAATGGAACAGCATATCAATGGATACAATTTACGCCCTTATTGTTTTCATGCACAGGCGAGTTAACGCCTTACTACAGAACAGGGGAAGACACACCAAGTGCTAATGCATTTTTCATTTTGCTCTAAAGGGGTTTAAAGTATTTTTCGTTTGTATTTTTTTCTTGCTCAGTCAAAATTAATTGAACTTGGGCAATTTGCATTGGTCACGGAACCAAATTGAATGTACTTTGTAATATGCTTCTTGACGTTTAATAAGTGTCTCATTTAGACAAACGTAAGGGGTGGTCCCAAGAATTTTGGCGGTGTGTCTCTAATAAAAATTAAATATTCCCAATTTTTCTTTCACGGTGTTACGCTCGACCTACTCTCACGTTTTTTGTGTCGATTTTAGGTCACTGCTGAGTATGTTTTCGAACAAGGTGCCTGCATTCCAAAAAGAGTTCACACAGTAGTAGTTTCCGTACAGCACAGCGAGAAGATCTCTCTGGAAGATTTGAGAAACGCTGTAACTGAACAAGTAATCAAAGAAGTGATTCCCAGCAAATATCTAGATGATAAGACTGTCATCCACATCAACCCTTGCGGACTTTTCATTATTGGAGGACCACAGGTAATAATAATTGTGCAGATACATGTCCAAAACAGGCTTCGTGGCTTTACCTGAAACTTAGGTTAGGTTATGAATAAGTGAAAACAGTAATTTGAGAAACTTTAATAATGTAATTCTAAGTAGTTTTTCCTTGATACATTTTTTGTTTATTGCACCAATAATTGGTAACACATTGCGGTAGCAAAAATTTGGGAAGTTATTCTGGAATGCCATCGGAAAACGAATCCACATGTTTCTAGAACTGGCATGTAATCGAGAAACGTTAATGGAGTCAAGCTGCTGGAAAATATTTCCATGAAAATCTGAAGATGAATAGATAGGTACTATTCTGATCAATCCCATACTGAAACCAAGTAAAGTACCTCATAAAAATAACTGTGTAAACACAGAGGAGAGGTGCATATGACATGCCCGTTCACGTGAAAAACACCTTACCCTTGCCTCTCATGTGAAACTATAACTATGTAGATACGTGTGGCAGATACTCGACCTACAGAATAGTAGGTTCACATGAGAAGCAAGGAGAGAGGAGTTTTTCATCTGAACTTGGGCGTGTCATAAGCACCTCTCCTGAATATATTTTTTATTCTGCTTCCCACCCCGGAGTATGTATTTGGGGAGTTGTTTCCGGACTTTGTAGGTGGTGCAATAGACAGTTCAATGAATTAACTGCAGATAGAACTTATGACTAGTTGGAATTAATTTTGAAGAGATGCATATGGCATGCCCAAGTTCAGGTGAAAAACACCTTACCCACTGCCTCTCATGTGAAACTACTCTAGTAGGTATATGTAGCAGATACTCGACCTACAGAATAGTAGGTTCACGTGAGAAGCAAGGGGTGAAGTTTTTCATCTGAACTTGAGCATGTGATAAGCACCTCTCCTGAATATATTTCTTATTCTACCTCTTACCCCGGAGTATGTGTTTGTGGAGTTGTTTCCGTACTTTGTCTGTAGGTGGCGCAATAGACAGACAGCATAATGAATCAACTGCAGATAGAGCATACCAAAGTTCAGGTGAAAAACACCTTACCCCTTGCCTCTCATGTGATACTATAACTATGTAGATACGTGTGGCAGATACTCGACCTACAGAATAGTAGGTTCACCTGAGAAGCAAGGGGTAAGGAGTTTTTCATCTGAACTTTGGCATGTCATAGGCACCTCTCCGGAATATATTTCTTATTCTGCCTCCCACCCCGGAGTATGTGTTTGTGGAGTTGTTTCCGGACTTTGTAGGTGGCGCAATAGACAGCTTACTGAATCAACGGCAGTTAGAGCTTATGACTAGTTGGAATTGATTTCGGAGAGGTGCACCCATTAGTCAGGGAAGCTATGGATTATACTGTAGACGACCCCTCCCGATATAGAAGGCCCCGACACTCTGTCGAATGAGGCCCCTATATCTTCCGTTGAAAGATGAACAATGTTTTCATCCAATTCACCCCTGCCAGGCAGAGGTGCACTGGTAAAGGGTGGTACTGATGTCTAAGGACACTCATGCCGCCATACCATTAACACCCACATCAGTCATGACCCATTTGCCTTCTGGCAAACATCAGTCCAAAGGGTAAGGGAGCCAGGCTCCAACCTGTCTAAATTCAAGATGACTTCCACTGGAGAGGTGCGTATGACAAGCCAAAGTTCAAGTGAAAAACACCTTACCCCTTGCCTCTCATGTGAAACTACGACTAAGTAGGTATATGTAGCAGATACTCGACCTACGGAAAGGTAGGTTCACATGAGAGGCAAGGGTTAAGGAGTTTTTCATCTGAACTTTGGCATGTCATAAACACCTCTCCGGAATATATTTCTTATTCTGCCTCCCACCCAGGAGTATGTGTTTATGGAGTTGTTTCCGGACTTTGTCTGCAGGTGGCGCAATAGACAGCTTACTGAATCAACTGCAAATAGAGCTTATGACTAGTTGGAATTGATTTTGTTTGTTCGCGAACCCGTTAGTTAGGGAAGCCAACCCGTTAGTTAGGGAAGCCACAGATTATGCTGTAGACGACCCCTCCCGATATAGAAGGCCCTGACACTCTGTCAAATGAGGCCCTCATGTCCCCCGTTAACGGACGAATACTTTTTCATCCACCCCACCCCAGCCAGGTAGGGGTATCCCGTGAAGGGCGGCACTGATGTCTTAGGACTTCATGCCGTCATCTATCAGTTGTGTACCCATTGGTCCCTCTCAAGGCCAATAATCAGCCAAAAGGCTAGGGGAGCTGGTCTCCAAACCTGGAAGAAGTGACGATGATGGCATTCTTTTGTTTGTTCGGGACACTCAAAACACTACAAATGTCACAATTTTAAAAGCGACTGATATCAGAAATCATCATCCCAACTATAAAAACATTTTTTAATTAAGAATATCTTCATATTGTTCTCAAGTGTTTTATCTGATTTGGACTCCTTGATCGAATTTGTCAGTTTAGAGAGAAATATGTTTGTTTTTCGTACTTTTCAACAAGTGAAATATATTCCTTCTCATAATAATTATTTCATGTTAGAGCATTTCCACATAAAGTAATTATTTTTCAATTAAAAGGTTACTATTCAAACCACCAAATGTTGTAGACAGATCAAGAATGCTCACTTTTTGAACCAATTTTGTTAATAATAAAAACCAAAAGTAGCCTCAGTATGGAATACTGAGGCACACCATGTTCATCCAACCCAAACTATCTGTATTGTAATGATGTTTTTAATAGAGTATTTGCTATCTTGAGTAATACTGATGTCAACCGAGATCTGAACGTTCGAAACACTCCCCAAATTTTCAAGACGCACCATATCCAACACTGAAGACACTGATCTCTTTCAGAGTGACGCCGGTCTCACCGGCAGAAAGATCATCGTGGACACTTACGGAGGGTGGGGAGCGCACGGAGGAGGTGCCTTTTCCGGAAAAGATTTCACCAAGGTCGACAGATCCGCTGCGTACGCCGCCAGATGGGTGGCAAAGTCTCTGGTCAAGGCAGGCCTCTGCAGAAGATGCTTGGTACAGGTCTCATACGCCATTGGCGTGGCCGAACCCCTATCCATTTCAGTATTCGATTATGGGACATCAAAGAAAACACAGAAGGAGCTCCTCGACATCGTCAAGAACAACTTCGATCTGAGACCCGGAAAAATTGTCAAGTGAGTATTTGTGTTTGTTAATTAAGTTATCCTATGATCCATTATCAAAGTAGCTCAAGGACAACTCATTTTTGAACTGCGATAAAAATTTAACATTGTTTCAGTAAAGCAGTTTAGTTAAATACACCTGGATTATGATATTTGATAAATATTGGCATCAATTATCTTCTTTCAAATAATTATATGGATACTTGGTTTGTTTGACTGAATTTACAGATCTTATAAGCTATGATATTGTTCAGCTGATAACATTCTACATTAGTCATACTATTCCTTTACTCTGAATTGAAATTTCATAATATCTTTTTTCCAATAAACCTAAATTCTATATTAACTTCAAACAACAGAAATATATAGAAATTATTATACAATCATCTAATAAGATGCAAAATTAAAGTATGAATGATTGTAAATATAGTTATATTATTACTAACAATAATCAATCAATCAATCACAGTACTTTATTGTCTAAGAAAAAAATCTTATTGACAAAGCATATGAAAACAATACTATTACACAAAATAACATACACATATATATACATACACATATATACACACCCATATATATATGAAATACAAGTTATCAAGTAATTATAAATAAAAATAAAAATAACAGGTGCAGACAAAATAAAAATATAATAAAACATAATAGTCGAAGTTATGTAAAATTTCCAGAACTGTAAAAAGTTCAAAAAATAAAACCTAAATCAGAAGCTGGTCTCAAAGCCTGTCTTGAAAATATTCGACCAAGCTGTAATACGCTTTTAAGAGCAAAAGTTCTTTTACACGGTTACGGAATACCTTGTAGTTTACTATACTTTTCATTTCGGTAGGTAAATGGTTGAAAATTTTCCGACTCTCAAACAAAACAGAATGTTTTGTTAACGTTGTTATTGGAATAGGCAGAGGTATGTCGTGAATTTGACGGGTAAAGTAGGTATCTTCTGATCTATAGCATTCTCTTCTTTTAAATATGAGACTTACTGTTTCCAAGATAAAAATGCAGTGTACAGTCAATAATTTATTATTGATAACTAGGGGTTTGCAATGGTCCCTAATATTGGCTTTGTAGATGAATTTCACTGCTCTTTTTTGCAAAACGAAAACAGATAGTAACTGTTTGCTACAAAACCCCCAGAAGGCGACACCATATCTCAAGTGAGATTCGATTAAAGCGTAGTACGCAGTTTTACCAGCAGTTGCTCCCAGTTCTTTAGTGATAACTCTAATGGCATAACAGCTAGATGAAAGTTTTTTGTTCAGATATTTTATATGATCTTCAAATTTCAGAAAGTTATCAATCCAAATTCCCCAAGAATTTAGCAGATTGTTTATTTTCTATCATATGAGTTTGAAGGCAGAAATTTCCATGCACGAATTTAAATGATAGAATGTTAGTTTTGCTGAAGTTAAAACATAGTGAGTTTGAGTCACACCAATACTTAATTTTTTCTAAATCAGCTTCAATGGTACTCTTCAAGGAAACCAAATCCTTTCCACGCCACAATAAAGTGGTGTCATCTGCAAATAGTGTAATTTTACCATCAATATTGATGTTAGGAAGATCATTCACATATAGGAGAAATAAGATAGGACCTAGAACAGATCCTTGAGGAACTCCACGGCATATTTCGGAGAGACTGGATGTTTTATTTCCTACCTTGACAATTTGATTTCTGTCGGAGAGAAAAGAGCTGAACCATTCGAGGGTTGGCCCTCTGAAACCATAAAGAAATAATTTCTTCATCAATATTCTGTGATCTACACAGTCAAAGGCCTTAGAAAAATCACAGAATACTGCAGCGGCCGCCTCGCCTTGATTTAGGTCTAAATATAGCTCTTCCAAGAAGTCAAAGATAGCATCGCTAGTATTCTTACATGATTGAAAACCAAATTGGGCATTGTTTATTATATTATGTTTTGTAAAGAAGAATATCATTCTTTTCTTGCCAAGTTTCTCTATAAGTTTCGATAAAGATGGTATAAGAGAAATTGGTCGAAGGTTTGACGGCTCGTTCGCTGCACCCCCCTTGTAAATAGGAATAACTAAAGCAGTTTTCAGGACGCCAGGAAATGTTCCAGTTGTGAATGTAATGTAATGTTCAAATGTAAACACAAATTGGATTATATTATGTACAAAAGCATTTAAAAAAGTTTAAAAAAAAATCTATATAAATCAATAAAAAGAAGAAAAAAATATTAACAGAAAAAATTAAGGGAAACAAAAATATAAAACAAATTAAAAAAAAGGTTTATTTAAAAAAAGACAAAAAAATGAAAATGCAAAAACCAAAAAGAAAAGAAAAAAAAAACAGAAATGAAAATTCAAAAAGCAAAAAACGAGGGGGGGAAAATATATGTTTGAGCTACTACTCAATGTTACTTTCAAATAGTTTTTTATTAAAACAGTCTGGCTAATTGGTTCTCCCAAAGCCAAAGAATTCAAACCACACACACACACACACAATAAGGCTAAGCACACACGGGCGATTTTCCAAACAGCAAATTGAAATATCGGCCAATTGAAAATCCCTTTGAATTTATGTCTAGGCGTACACATGAGCAACTTTTCGGTTTAGGAATGGGTATTTTTGAGTTATGTGGACTTAAAACTTGTACAGATGGTCTCGGAGTATCTTAAAAATACAATGGACACTGTCAAGTTAACTTTTTCTTGTTTTCAACATTTCTATCACTATATTCTTGTAATGTTTTATTATACAGTTTTGGGTCGATATCAGCCATTACTTTGTTGCAAACCAAGAAAACAAAAGCACAACCTGTGGTGGAGTATTCAATTAATTGTGTGCGCGGACAGGTTACAACCTGTATGATGGTCGGCTGACTATCGCATCGTAATATGCCACAGATTTCAAAACCGGCGCTACTCTCAATCGCCTGTGTGCGTGCTTCCATTCCCATCTATGTTGCACAGATAGCCCGATGAAATAAACGTCTGTGTGTGCTAGGCCTAATAATTGATATGACAGACATGGTTGAAGACTCGGCTAAATATTTGTGGAAATGGCACTGCGATAAAGAATCATAGTAGATCACCAAAGTCGATTCTGTTACACCAGCCAATGAGAGCGTAGCAATTTGCCACATGACCAGTTTGTTCGGTTGGTTACGCTATCGGTGCGGTTAGGTTAGGTTAGACCCAACAGGACCGCGCCAATAGCGTAACCAACTGAACAAACCGGTCATGTGACAAATTGCTACGCTCTCATTGGCTGGTGTAACAGAATCGGCTTTGGTGATCTACTAATCATATCAGCCGCTAATCATCATACAGTAACCGTGGTTGCTCAAAAATAAAAAGATGAACAGAACTCTCAAAGTGATACTTTCTGTTGATCGTTCAAATCGTAAAGCGCCAACTTTTCAGGCTTTTTGTCCTTTCCAATACGTTTTAAACAAACCATAAAACACCACATGGGAGTTTACGGCCAGTTCTTCCGCCATTTCACGCACCGTTTGGGGTGGGTCAAACATTAAACAATTCACTGGTTATAGTATGAAATAGAGCAGAATAACAGATGAGTCACATTTTAATGTGTAATACATTATCATTATTCTTGCTCAAAGTTTTAGTGACTCTTTTGGTGTTTTTCAATGTGACCAACGTTCCAAAATTATTGGTGTATTGGTAAAAAAGAGCAGGATTGACACATAAATCTTGTTTATCGTACATTCAAGTATATGAAATGAAAGAAATCACTTTTTTAGCTGATCAAATATCAACAAAACTTGTTAATGTGTAATAACATAAGCATACTTCTTGCTCAAAGTTTCAGTGACTCTTTTGGTGCTTTTCAATGTGACCAACATTCCAAAATTTACTGGTGACAGTATTAAAGAGCAGGATTACATATAAATCTTGTTAATTATGTATTTCAGTTCATAAAATGAAAGAACTTCGATATAACCAACTTATACGTCCATAGATTTTTGCACAACAACAAAAGGTCGTGTATAATTGAAATTTCACATAATTACTCCAGTGAATTGTTTTCTTATTAGCTGGAAATAATACAAATGACACCATTTGAAATGAACTGCATGGTTTATAATTCATACTTCATTTTTTCCAGGGATTTAGATCTGAGGCAACCCATCTACCAGAGAACCAGCACCTACGGCCACTTCGGCCGTGAAGGCTTCTCCTGGGAGCAGCCCAAACCCCTCCTTCTGAATTGAATCTCATCCTCCTCGCTTCCCCTCCCCTTTCCTACTTTCCCATCGTAGCCGTAGTTAGTAAGACATAAGCAAAATATTTGCGATTGGCGCTCTGAACCTTGAGAACCACGCGACGCCTCTTTCCCCGCTTTGGAACGAGGCGCCGCCTCCCCAGTGACTGTGGAACTACGCCCCGATTTCCCCGTACAGGCCACAGTGGCGCACACGGCGTTGCTGCAATTCAGTGTGAGTCGAAACGTTCCGTTTCAAGTTCAAGTATTTCACTCGCACGTTGTGTTGTGTTTACGAGAAAATAATTTGGAAAAGAGCATTTCTGTATACACTCCGGACTGTACCGGGAACGGGGCCCACACCCCGAGCGCTGACCGATCAGTAGAGACGGTCTTTTCTAATCGATCAATCGAGGGAACTCCTTCGTGTCGGGTTATCCGGCTCGAAAGACCAAATTTTCACTTACGCTTCTGTCACCGGGACATTAACCTTTTCGTGTTTCTCTCCTGGTACACTGGTTGTACTTCACTGCTTTTATATTGTGATAAATCTATTTTTCGTATTAGAAGAGCTCCTACCTACTTTTTAGAGTTTGTTGATAGGGCATTTCCGAAAAAAGTGAGGAATAACCAACTTCTAGTGTTACTTTTATATATTTCAACTGGTTAAACTCTTGTAGAATTTAGACTATAGTTGATAACTAAAATGTTTGTATTTTAAGGTGACCACATAATTTATTATGGAAATAAAATATATTCAGTTTTAGTGGTACAACTTTTATCTGAAAAGTAGATGTGAAATTGGTGTAATTTCTTTTATAGTCTGTTTCACTTTTAACGTACTAGATTATATTGTATTCTTTGCAATCAATATTATGCTTTTTCTTGTGTAAGTTTGACAAATAAAGTTAAAATTTATAAAGAAGTTTCTTTTTGTTCATTGAAAACCTGATACCTCACGTAGATTTGCAGTCATGACAAAATTACTAATGCAATAAACTGGTTTATTGTACTAGTTTGAAAATGTCTTCATATGACGAAACTGCAGTAACGTTAGTTGAAAATACAAGTGATCCTCGTTTTCCATTTTAGTTCCGTTCCGTTTTCTGTACTTTGAACTATTGACGTCACTGAGATATGACGTCAAAATATGAACTGGCCATTGAAGAGAGTACATTGGCTCCAAAAGATTCATGTCTTGGCATCTGCGCCACTCATGAACTCAACGTCTGGTCAAATGCCCGTGATTCAGGAAGCAATAAGAAGAAGAAGAACTTTACGTCATGATGTTTCATGTATTGTCCATTTCCATTGTGAAAATTTTGGGATTTGATTTATCAAATTATGCTGTAACACAGTGGCCAAGACGTTGTGTGATCCGTAGCTGAAGTATATGTAAAAGTGACGTCTCGGCCAGTCCATATTATGGTTAACTATTGTTCAGTATATTTGGAAGGTACAGGCAAGGAGAACCGTTTCTCTGTGAAAAACTGTCTGTTGAATTGTGCTAAATAAGGGTGGCGCTACAGTAGCAACAGGGTGAATTTTTTTAAAAGCGCTGAAAGTTATTAGAATAAGATTGAGAAAAAAAAGAAGACGAAAGAACTTCCGTCTCTTATTATGGCGCATTTTTAAAACTGATCAATTGTTTGCTTAGAATTTCTTAACGTTTGATCAATATAACATTTAGAAAGTAATAAATAAATAAAATGCACGAACTACAGCAATATTTTTAGGTTATATTAACGAAATTGGTTTGGACTACGTAAACATGTGAGGTCTTGGATGTTACACTGTCACTAACTACTCTAGTCATTAAAGACATTAAATTTCCTAACTCAGCATAGTTCAATCAGCTAATAACTGTTTAATTCATATCATACCCTGTGCCATTCTGAAGGGTTTTTGAATTGTTATTTACTGTTACTGTTATTCGCTACTGAAAATTGGACACTTTTTTAAGCTTCCTTCCATATGAGACTGTTTTCTTTTTACCCTCCATAGATCAACTAGAGTGAAGTACTTTCAACTCCATCTAGTGAACAAACCTCAAACAGGGAAAAACCATCTTTGTGTATCAAACCAGTTCAAATAAAGTCATTTATATAGTTGGAAACACTTGAGAAAAACTGGAGAGTTGATAATTCCTTTATAGTCGCCCTGTGTGTTTTGACAGTGTGTTGACACTGTCAAAACATATTTTTTTGTATTTATTTGAAAATGGACCATGCAAAAATAAAGTCAAAGTTATCAAAGAAGTAAGTATCTATCCAAGGTTACATTTTCTGATTATGCTTGAAATTTTGATTTTCAGAAATGCCCTGATTATGCGCTTTGATCCTCACCAAGACATTCGATGTCACCCCAAAGTCCATTATGGCGTCAATCCTTATTTGTTGGAAATCAACCATGAATTGTATCATATTGGTCGGATGCATTTAAAGGTAACCACTCCACGAAGGGAAAGAAAAACTTGTGAGACTTTCAATACTCCATAACGAATAATATATCACGGACAAAGAAATGTCCATCAAATAATATACTCAGATTTTTACAGTGGCCATATTTGCAAGTGTAGAAGGGTCAAATTTTTTAGTGAAAGATGATGAAAGAAGTTCTGTGAAAAGTTATATCACTGCGCTACTCATATATTCTATTTCTATTGCACTCATGCATTGATGCATTTATTTTTCTTATATATCTTCAGGCTATCTGCAAGTAGTTACCGCTTCTCCTGTATTATGCATTTTCATGATGTGTAGGCGTTCATGGCCGGTGTCTAACAAATTGTCTGATGTTTCCAGATTTATTAGCTATAGTATGCAGGATTTTATACCTAAAATTTAGTTTGAAAATATATAACTGATAATACGTGTTATGTAACTATGTTACGTAAAACTTACATCCCTGTTATAGCGAAATGTCTGCCACAAATACAACCTGATTTTTACGTAACATTAATGTCATTATTTCACATATATTTTATATAATTTCAGTGAGTAAATATGAACAAATATAACACTCGCTCGCAGAAAAACTTGGAATGATTAACTGGAAAATGCAACAGTAGTTGCCAATTCCTCTTCCTTGTGACTCCAGTCCACAAAGGTATTGTAGCCATTAGGAGGGTTGGACCAGCGAATCTTCTACAGCTCGTCGTTCGAATTGTTCCTAGTAGAAGTTGCCAACTTTTGCAACTTTTGATATATAATAATCATCTCGGTTAGTCGCACCAGAAAAATTCACCCCTGTATAAAGGATCGTTCTGCTGAAGGTATTTATTTTTTTCATTTAGTTTGGTCTAGAATTTCCAGCTACTGTAGGAAATTCAACTGGATTCACCAAATCTCCGCGCACAACTCCCTTAAATCTTTCCAAAAAAAACTCTCCACCTTAATTCTGTTAGAGGATGTAATTAACGTTATCTCAGAAAATTCTTACCAATCGGAAAGTCTGAAATTGTTTCCAAGACTGGTACTCTTATCGCCACCTCATGGTCCGGCGAATAAGTCCTCAAGAATTCACGTCTAGTTCCCGACATTTCTAATGTCGTGAGTCTACTACTGATATATAGATGTCACTGCAAGGGTTATTTTGATATTTTCGTTGTCTTGTATAAAACATGAAGACTATCTCGGATGGTCTTAGCATCAAGCAGTTAATTTTAATGACTTTTCCTTTAAATGGCTTGGCTCTGTTGACCTTAAGGTTATTTCTGAAAGCTGATAAGGTTCCCTTTTTATACGAAAACACATGTGTTTTGGTATCTAAAATTCAACGAAAAATATAATATATCCAACTTATTACAATAAGACGGTGGTCTGGATGAGTAGTCCCACAAACTTAAAACATTGAAAACACCCATTAAGTATAAAACATGGAAACAAATTCAAAATCACTACGGTACACTACAAATTCAGTTATTATGATCATCGAAATTAACGTTAACAAATCTCACAAAGATTTTTGTCATAAAAAAATTATGAGTACCTGTTTATTGGGCTTTATTGTAATGAGATATTTACTTATTCTCCTGAATAACTTGAAATCATTTGAATACCTAATTGGCAATGACAGGATGTTGAATATACATTTTCTCAGATCATTCTTTAATTTGGTCCAGAGAGTAGATTATTCGATTTTATCAGGTTTTAGTAACCGTTGTATATGGTTGTTCCATGAGAGTAAAATTAACCAGACATTTGGCAATGATAGTGTTGATGACAGTCGTTGGGCATCCAGGCACTTCCCAAAGGCGAAAAATCTACCGAAAAAAAACCATGGTTATTGTATGGTGGTCAGCGACTGGTATGATTCCACAACAACGCCCGTCCGCACGTTTCACAAATCACCGTCCGAAAATGAAACGAATTGAGCGTCGAAGTTCTGCGTCACCCACCATATTCTCCAGACCTCTCGCCAACTGACTACCATCCTTTCAAGCACTTCGACAACTTTCTGATCGGTAGAACCTTCGCCGCTAGTAACAGTTGTTTCAAATGTCCTAGTTAGGTCATACTGTATGATCATCAGACGTTCTGTCTCACATATTGAAACTCTTTAAACATAAAATAATTTTTCAACAGTCTCACCGCGTATATAAAACTCGCCTAATAGATACTTCTATGAAATGTTTCACCAAAGGTTTCGAAAGAATGTTCACAGTTTGTTTCATTGGATTTACAGAGCCGAAGAGAAAAAATGTGGAACCTCCTTAGATCCGACTTCCTGCAAGAAGACGTCGAACTGAGGCAAGTCGACCTGGCGTACATAAACACCCAACCATAAAAACGACTCGAAAATTTTCAAAAATTCTTTATTTGAACTGCATCTAAATATATATATTCAACAGTAAATTAAAAGCACCATTCATAACTGGATTCTTCACGTTTAAAACAATTGAAAAATAGTTAACAATCAGCATAAAAATCATTATTTCACAGGACGAAAACATAAAAACAAAAAAGTACACTTTTTAAGTAACAATAGAAAAATTAAGCTCTTTCCTAAACAATACTTCTTATAAAAATATTAGGCGATCTGAACTCTTACAATATATTAATGATGAGGAAACTAAAAGCTGCTTGAAAAACCTTTGGAAATATGAAATGCTCCATCGCGTTACAATATATCTTGTTGCACCTACTTCAAACATTATCAAGGCAGGATAGATCGTGAAAATTTCGGGAAGAAGAGACTTAGCTGTCAACTGCCAAATTTTAGAGGTTATAATTAACTACCACCAGTGTTGCCAACCATAGAGAATGTCATGGAGTAGCGGAAATTTAGGCGAATGTAGCCAAAACTTCAACATCATGGATAAAAAATTAATCGAACTGGATTTAATAATATCTAATTAGAGAGTCATGTTTAGTTTTGGATGAATGTTTTCATAAGTCTTTCACTAATAAGAATCAAATGGTCATAAACCCTGTGGAAGAAAATAAAAAATGCACTTGTGATGCGGTGTTTGGAAACTTTGGTGTAGTAATGAACTTACTATCCCAACGCCCAACTGTTATTTTTAACACCTCGACACATGTTTCGATAACCATTATCTCCAAGAGGAAGATCAAATCTTCCTCTTGAAGATGATAACTTGGTTATCGAAGCACGTGTCGAGGTGTTAAAAATGACGGTTTGGCGATGGGATAGATTTCCAGTAATATTCATCTCTTCTGGAACCATTTAATTGATACCGAGCATGCGTGTGGGAAGGTCCAAGGAATTTCGAAGTGCGTTGGGGAATTTGACGATTTTCGATGAGCAACGCTGTCTTTGAGAACACGACATAAATAAAAATACCTACATACGTATGTCGACTTCATTCTGTTAGCTTAGGGATGACACTGTAGTTACGTGAATATAGAGGACAATTTGGTCTACTGCGCCGAAGGGAAGCAGACCATAAAAAAAGAAGAAGAAGAAGATAGAGGACAATGAGTGGATAGAACACCAAGAAAAGTTCTGCATTGCGCAAGCGCGTTTCTAATTATACCGTAGTGGAATTTTTGTCTCGGTATCATAGAGACTTGCGCCTCCAAATGGTTGGCAAAACTGAATACCACGCGATTTGGAATACTCCCCTGACATCTTCTGGTTCCGAAATTTTCAGTTACAACAGCTTCCCGACAGAAAAAACTCAAATCAAAAAACAAATCCATCAGATGGCGTTCTTCACATAAATAAACAATTGCTTACAGCATATCAGATATCACAGAGTACAAAACCTATTTCTTATTGTTCGTCTAGTGTGATTTCTGAGTAAACTGCCCCATCGGAAACTTTACAGAGTAAAAGTGAACTCGCCATTAATATAAAATTCAATGAAACCAGAAAATCCTGGATATTTTGGCGACTGCTTTTGGCATTGTTTTTTTTATATGTAAACTGTTGGACAAGGGTTTTCTATTATGTTTTAAAGAACATTGAAACACAAACAACGAAAACTGAACTCGATCCTTCCAAATCTAAAAACTCGATGTCTTGGGGGACATGAAAACATGCCGTAAGTCATTTAATTCTAGATAAAACATACAACACCTAAATCTACGTACGGGGCATTCCGATATAAACTCCAACTACAAAAACTCAACTTCTAATTGCTATGGAATACCCCTTGTGAATGCCTCAACGCAATTGACTCCTGGTAAGCAGAATTCAAAAAAAAAATAAGAACAAATTATCGCAATCTCAATTTTGTCTTTCACCGAAATAAGGCACTAAAAGAATTATTGGGGGAAGTACTAGGGATCTTTGATACACTCTTTATGTTTGATAGACTACGATGCCAGAATCAACTCCCGTCTCAAAAACTAAGAAAAAAGGTACTGGGACATTTGAACTACCGACTTGGTAGACAAATTGAAGAAATTTATGATGAATCTGGGAAAAGCTGTACTTCTACTCTCTCGGTACAGGATTTGAACTACAATAAAGAAATAGTTTTACTGTAAGGCATAGCAATTTTAGGAATACATCAGAATGTAAATAAATCTGATTTTGAGTAGTAACTGAAACGAAAATAAAATAGTTCAAATGTCCAAGTTTGAACTGGGACATTTGAACTAACATATAAGCATCGGTTACAAAACCAACAGTTGACACTTCAAAATGTAAATAAATCTGATTTCAAGTATTAACTGAAAAGTGAAATAGTTCGATTGTTCCAGTTACAAAAGCAACGGTTGACACCAGCAGAGCGAATTAACAAAAAACTGTTGACACAGAAATCAATATTGACAAAGACAGATTTAGGGTACTATCAAAAGGCATGTTCTTATTTATTGGTGCTATACAAGTTCATTCGAACTACTTATCGTTCATTTACTACCACCTATCCAGATGCTTGCAATCAATGGTGTATTGGAACTACTGAAGTGGTTTAATATTGGTGTGCCATGAAACAATTATGGACATGAAATAACATGAACTATCGACAATTCCAGCATTTGCACTACTGCCTATCCTTTATTCAAACTAATGTTGATGATGAAAGTGACTGGATTATCAAAATTACTGGAATATTTGAACTAAATCAAGCTATCAAACACGAAATTTATGTTTATATGTAACAATATTGACAAGAGGGCATTTGAACTAACTATCAAGGTACGTATGTGAATGACTCAACCAATTCCAAGCATTCTCAATTTTAAGGAATGTTTTTCAAAGTTGGTCATTTAACCTACTGGCAGATTTATATGATAATACTGAAAATTAATATCCACCATAGTGCACATCAACCGTGACTATGATTTGTGTATAGTTAACAATTCAAATTCAATAGATGGACATTAATCATAATTACAATACATGAGGACAGTAAAAGCATACAAACAAAGCTTGTAGTTTGGCTTTTGAAGATATAAGTTACATGTTACATATCAAGTTCATTTGAACTACTGTTCCTAGAAAGCTCTTTTCTGAACCGAGAGGTTATTATATACAGCTTGATAAGATAGAAGTTATTTGAACTTTCAGCAACAGGTATGTCAACATAGTTTCATTTTGAGACATTTTATAACGTTTAAACTACTAGAAGCCAAAGCATATCGAGATGGTATGAAAGTATTGAACGTTGAACATTTGAACTACCGACTTTGTTGTCAATTGAAACTACGACAAAAATAGAAAATCTGAAATATATTCCGATGATAGTGGTAACCGATACATTTGACCTACCACGACCAATCCACACTTTCATTTAGAGTACTAATGAAATGCCATAAGAATGAGTATACTTCTTGAACTATACCAAGACAGTAGATACAGGCTATAAAATCGACTGATTCAGAAGTATACGACAATTCGAAAATTGAAAGGTTCATTATAACTACTACAAACTCTTCCATTGAAACACCTGTTCGAAAAAACTGCAAATAATAATTTTGAAAATGAAAAGCTGATTCTGGCACAGAGTCGAAACATCCGGATTTTTCCGATTCACGGCAGGGCTATTTTCGAAGCCCGCATCCAAAGACGCAGACATTATTGCTCTCATCTGTGATTGTTAAAGTAAACATATCCTACCAGGCCTACTTTTTTCAACTCCTACCTACCTACGTGCAACAATATTTTCGTATGAATACTACTAAACTTGTTATTTTGATCCAATGTGAATTTCAGAGAAACGGGACCAGGCAGTAAGGAAACCGAGCACCCAAGTCCAATCCCTTTCCAACTACCCAGCTATCACCCCGACTGGCATAAACGCATGACAACTTCGTTGGTGCCTGGCTATTACTCCGACTGACACTGAAACCCGACCCTCGCGCCCAGAGACGAACCAAAAACAAAAATAAATTAAGTACTGTAGTCGGGAGCGGCTCTACATGAATAGAGCCAAAGCATTTCGTTATGAACGTTTCGGCAGCAGCGAGATCTCCTCGTCTTTGGCTCCGCCGACGACTTGGATGTCATCTACGGGGCTCGACTTGAGGGAGCCGTTGATGTCGCGCGGACTGAGACGATGCGGAGGACTTGCAGCGCTGTAGTGAGAAGGAGTCTTGGGGCTCGTCTGAAGCGAGGCGTTCTCTTTTATCTCTTGACTCTTTCTCGAGGATTTGCGACGGGGGGTCTGTCTGCCGGTGCTCAGGGCGTCGTCTTCGTCGAGAGAGTGCAAGAGCTGTAACAGAAAGGAAAATACCATGACAATAAACAAGAGATGATACGTATGAATGTGTATCTGCATGAACTTACAAGTTGTTGCTGTAATAGAGACCTATTACTGATCACTAATAACCAAAAATTACATCGGAATTTGAACTCCTAACGAGTTCCATTTTAAAAATTTGTAATTGGAAATATAATAAGGTTTACTATAGAAATTCCAAGTTAAAGTCGAAATTCGTAAATTAAAATTGAAGAATCCATTTTAAAATTCAAAATTGCGAGAAATTCAACATCAGGAAAGGTAAAAATGAAATTCCAAAGTACAAATTCTAATTCGTTTAGCCGGAATTTCAACTGTGGAATTTCAAAGTGTACAGCCAAAATTTCAAATTCAAAGCTAAATTTTCAAATTTAAAGCCAAAATTTCAAATTTAAAGGCAAAATTTCATGTTCGAAGTTAAAATTCCTGGATTAAATATCGAGATTCCAATTCTGACAGTTAACATTTCAAATTTATGTGAAATTATCAAGTCAAAACTCAAAATAACAAAATTTAAATTCGAAATTTCAAGTTTCAAATCCGTGAATATGAAAGTCCAAATTCCAAAGTTTCAAGTCAAAATTCCAACTTTCAAAGTTTAGAATGAACATTCCAAGGTTCAAAGTCAGAATTTCAGGTTCGAAATTTGAAAATGTATAGTCAGAATATCAACTTCAATAGCAAAATTTCAAATTTAAACCGAATTCAAATGAAGTTCAGATGTTCAAGATCGGAATTCCAAAATTTTGGTCATTTAGAGTTGAAATCCAAAGATTTCAGTCAAAATGCAAAGGTTTCAAGTCAAAATTTCAAGCCGAAATTTCAAGTTTATAATCCAAATTTCGAAGTAGATATAATCACTTCAAAGGCGCAATTTCGAATCTGAGTTGGAATTCCAGAGTTTAAAGTTGAAATTCAAAAGTTCAAAGTCAAAATTTTAGGTTTGAAAACGAAATTTCAAGGTTAGTGTCAGAATGTTTAATTTAAATCTGGAATAACAAGTTGCTTGTCATTAAACTCCAAAGGCAAACATTTTAAAATGCAATTACAAGTTTTAGGCTAAAGTTTCAAACTTTAAAATGAACATTTCAAAGTTTGAAATGAACATTCTGAAGATTGAAGTCAGAATTTCAGGTTTGAAATTGAAATTTGAGGATTGAAGTCGGAATAATAATTCTGATGGTGAGATTCCCAATTCAAGTCGAATCCAAAACTAAAATTCTAAATTGAGAAAAAATATCAAAATGTTCAAGATCGGAATTCCGAAATTGTGGTCAATGCGAAGGTTTCAAGTCGAAATTTCAGGTTTCAAGTCAAAATTTCAGGTTCTAAGCCTAAATTTCAAGTTTTAAATCCAAAATTCAAAGTGTGAAGTTGAAATTCCCAAGTTCAAAGTAAAAATTTCAGGCTTGAAAACGAAATTTCAAGATAAGTGTCAAAATAAATGTTCAATTTGAAATTGGAAATACAAGTTGATGGTCATTAAAGTCCAAATGCAAACATTTCAACATGCAATAACAACTTTTAGACTGAACTTTCAAAGTTGTATTGTAAATGATAACTCAAATGCAACATTCCAAGAGTTAAAGTTGAAATTTCAAAGTTTGAAGCCAATATAATGTATATTCTTAAGAAAATAAAGATTATTATTATTATTATCATCATTATTATTGTATCTCAGGTATAAAGCGGAAATTTTACCGTTGAAAGTCGACATTTCCAGTCTGCAAGTGTCAAGAATGTTTCCCAAGTGTGAACAACTTAAAATTGATTTTTCTTACGTAGAAAGTTCTTCTTTACAGCTCCTATCTCTTGTTCAACATTTCAATTCAACTTTGACTAGAACGCATTCTATACAATGTTAAGAGTCTTATAAATCGTTTTCTTCATTAATTCATATGTGATCTTTTTCAATAAAAACGAAATAACTCCATTTGGCTTTCTTCGAGGCAGTCTTCGTCAGGGCTATTGTGGAGGATCTGGAAACAGGAGAGGATAAAGAGGGTGAGGAAAGAAATACTCTCAACAAGTGCTCGGCGAGATTTTGCCTCAGAACAGTTTCTAGTACGACAGTCGAATTTGTATGCCTAAATAGATTGTAGCCCATTCTTCAACAATCAATTGATACACATATTTGATGATTCTGTAGTCATTCATTAAACATGAGGATGACATGTAACGTGAAACTTTCAATGAAGTTAAGGACAAACCCAACAGAGCATAAATATTTATGGCGCAGTCGGTAGGATTGCCATTTATAAATTCTGCAGTAAATTTCATTCAAAACAACATTCCTAGACTCAACATATTTGATAATACATGTAGGCAAAATAATAAATATACAGTGCCATTGAAACTGGTTTCGTAATGCCTTGAATGAAAGAAAACTAGCGGACAGGAATAGACTGACTATTCACTGGGTGCGAAGAAACTCAGGTTTCTTCGCACGGTGAGTGTGCCACACTCAGATCATCAACTCCATATGTAGGCCCTGAACCAGCTGCGATGGTACCAAAATCTTCGGTAAGGAACCAGATCAGCAAGTGGGTCAATAAGAAACATGAAGAGTACTAGTATAGTTACTCGGTTAGTAAAAATTATCCATTACGAACCGCCACGTGGTGAATACGTCCGCGTGGACTAATTCGTTGCGGCATAATTTCTTTGTATTGGTTTTTTGGCCTTTGACTTCGCCGACACCTTCAAGATTACTCTATCGGTTACTTCGACTATACATTGAGAGGACATTGGGGGACACCTGAGACCTTACCTACATGGAACAAAGGGGTAAAGACAGCTCGTCGTGGTTTATGCCAACGAGGAGTATTGGACACACGACACACAAGAAACTTGTATTAACTAGTATAGGGATCAAGATTGTTGAAACGGGTTTCATGGAGGAGAAGTGGAAAAATACAATAAACCCATTTGGATGCAGTGTTTTTCACAGACTTGAAAGAAATGGACAAGTCAGACGCCTCCCAAGTAGCAAAAAAAAAAGTTTATGGCGCAGTCAGTAGGATCGCCAGTTGTTAAGACGGAATGAGTAACTTTCACTCAAACCAAAATTCCTAGGACCAAAATAGTTGATACTAGGTATATACAGGCAATGAAATCAATATAATAATAAACAAACTGGAAGATCCTGCTACCACTTTTGCTATATCGCAGATCTCAACAGTTTATTCTTACCTTATCAACCTCTTCGTCGAACTGCTGCTCCGTCTGGTTTTCTCCTCGCTTGGATCTCTCCATCAGGGTGGCTCTCTTTGCAGCCAAGTACAGGCTTCTCTTGACCTTGAGGTACAGTACTTCCGTCGTAGCTCTGACTGAATAATCCGGAATGAAGGTGTGGCGTAACAGAGAGTCGATATTCAATGATTCCAAGCTTCCCATTGTAGATGGGGCGACGGATGGCGATTCTACGGAGAAAAACGAATATGATTTATTATTATCGTGCAAAAAACTTAGTCTGTTCTTTGCGAATGAAACTCGTATGTGATTTCTTAGTTTGGCAACTTTTTCGAGAAACTAATCAAATTAATTCGTTGAAAATTTACTGTTTATAGAAAAAAATCTGATCCGTTCTTAACTGTTGTTTCGAAATGGGAAGATATAGTTTGACATGGAGTTGAATAGTTGATGGAGTTGAAAGTCTAATAGTTGTTCAATTATTTCAAAAATTCCCTTTTATCTTATTCAAATCAAGTTTCCAATGATGGAATTTTCAGAATCAAATGAAAGTTCCAGACAAATTAAAATAAAGCGAACATTTCTATGATAGCTCTCTAATTACCTACAACCCCAAAAAGATAAACTCATACATACACAACAATAGCCCCAAAAAAGAGTGCATAATGCCAAATACCGCTAAAATCGGTAAATTCATGAGTTCGCTCCCTTTATTAGTACGTTCCAAATCAATTTCCATTAGTAAAGTGCCTAAATATCTAGCGATACTGCTGCAAGTTAATCTGTCTGCTATAAATCGGACAGTTACTTACACCGTCAATAAAACATAAATCTCAAACGAAACAACACACCACCCGTCACCAAACTTGGCAGAATATTCGAAGCAAACCGTTTGAATTTCAGTATTGTTGAACTTTCAAGAACCAATTAAAATTCAACTAACCCGAAGAAGCTACACCAATCTATAAGCATAGTATAGTACCTAGTTTAACTTTCTCGAGAAGATCAAGAGTGTTTGATTCATTCCACAAATGGGTGGTGTCATCGGCATTGTGAGCGACTGTCCCTGGAATATCAATAGTAATATCAGCACTGTACATAGTAAATAAACAGGGTTCAAGTATATAGCCCTGAGGAATTTTGTATTCGCCAGACGAGGCACTTCAACATTCAAGTCAGCACTCAGTTGAATAAATATAGAATAAATATTTCGTTTATATAGGTGAGTGGGAAAGTACGGATTCAAATAATGAGGTGATAAATGAAAATACTACTGAATACTTCTTACTCACACACACGTATATATACACACATCGGAAAAGTCTAGGTATATTTTTAAAAATGGCAATAATTTTTTTTAGATCGCTTTAGGGAAAAAAAAGTTGACGTGTGATTATTAAACGTCTAGTCCCCA